GAGTGTCCTACAAGAGTGTCCCACAAGAGTGTCCCACAAGAGTGTCCTATGAGAGTGTCCCACAAGAGTGTCCCACAAGAGTGTCCCACAAGAGTTTCCCACAAGAGTGGCCTACAAGAGTGTCCTACAAGAGTGTCCCACAAGAGTGTCCCACAAGAGTGTCCCACAAGAGTGTCCCACAAGAGTGTCCTACAAGAGTGTCGTGTAAGAGTGTCCCACAAGAGTGTCTTGCAAGTGGCCCACAAGAGTGTCCTACAAGAGTGTCTCACAAGAGTGTCCTACAAGAGTGTCCCAGAAGAGTGTCCCACAAGAGTGTCCTACAAGAGTGTCATTTGGACATATGTAGTTTTTCGAACGTGTTTCCATTCGGGTTCGTGGGTTCCATCTTGTTAATTGTTTAAGTTTAAGTTTAGATGGACATTGCATTATCGATACCTTTAATGGCAATGGGGCGCTTGAGATGCATGTCCTCTAAAGTGACCTTATATCCTTCCTTAGCATTGTATAGCCGACCAGGGGAACTTGCTTATTCTGTCACAGTTGATGTGGTGCTCTCCGGGGTTCATCAGCTTCAGAAACTTAAGCTGAAGAGCGTCAGGGTGTATTTGGTCTATTTTTTGTAGACGCGACCCGTTCTGATGATCCCGCAAGGCTCGAAGTTCCCTGGTGGACATCGTCTCTGAGATTCGCACCTCCATGCTGGATGAGTTGGACTTCACCAAGGAGCGGTGATTTCATGTTGGTGAGGCTTTTCAGATGTGGATGCAGAATGTGTGGGAAAATAGGTGTTGGTGCTGCTAGGGCTGCTAGGAGATGTCATATATATAGTTGTATAACGAACATTTGATGGATCCATATTTTTTTTGGGTGGGTGAAGCAAACGCTCAAATCATCGGATTGGTGAACATTGTCTACGATTCAATGACTATTCCGATTGTCTTTGGACCAGGGCGGCCAGGGTTTATTTGTAAAGTCTCGGAAGTGGTAGCAGCAGCACCAATATAAACGAGACATCAGGCATCCCAGGTTTGATTAGGAAACACATTTCCTGAGGAGCTCGACAATGTGGAGACCTTTCGACGCTTCTTGCGGCAGAATGGTTTGGAGGACATCGCAGCAGCTCCAAGAACCTTCCCAGAGGCTTCTTCTAGCAAGGCCCTGATGGGATAGAATTGACCCAAGCACATTCGAGCCAACGAACATATGGTGCCACACTGTCTAAATTATTTGCATGTCCTGCTTTTGTTCAATATCCTGGAGATATACGTGTTTTAAATTTTCTTAGAAAAGGATTGACACCACAGGAATCGACAGGACACATTGAAGATAGCCCTTTTGAGGTCCTGACGATGGAGTTATTCACGGGTGTCCCTCTCACCGATCTTGAAGGTATCAGCCAGAACAGCCGAAATCCAGAGCAAACCCTGATCAACGCCTTGAAGCTGAGAGCTGATGAATACCTTTTTTTTCGGCATCGCAAGACTTGCTTCCCCAATACTGAAAATATCTGAAAATAGAATACAATGGAGAGACTCGTTTTCGTTTGTTTTCTGGTTTTTGAACAGCTCAGGCCGACAAGGTGTGGTTGCTGATTGGTGTGTATATATATATATATATGTGTGTTTGTGCCACAAGAAGGCAAGAAGGCTTTCACCAAACATATCTAATCTAATCTATTCTAATCCAAATGAAATATAGAAAGATTCCCAAACAACTCATTCTATAGTTCGAGTTTTCAACTTCCCACTTTCATTGCATGAACCCTGTGGCCTTTAAACTCAAAGTACTTCACTGTACTTCACTGTGTCACTTTTAAGACCTAGGAATGTTTGGTCTATGTCTGTCCGTGGGTGCGAGATCTTCCATGCGGATGTCCATGCTGGAAACCTCCTGGTCTTGCAAGATGGTCGTGTGGGCTTTATCGACTTTGGCATCGTTGGTCGCTCGGCTTGATGCGCATCTGATGCGTTTGCTCGGTTCAGACCGATGGGATTAGTTCATTCGGTTCCCTCGAAAAGGATTCTCCGAGGCCTACGCTTTGGGCCCAAGTTGGTCGGAAGTGAAAGAGCCGCATACGATCAAAAAACAGCACCAAGATCGTACATGCTCCTTTTAACCTTGAATTCCTTCAGTCCTTTGGAGATTGGCGCACATTGTAGTGACTCATGTCAAGAGGTTCTCACCAGCCTCCATCACAAGCACCACCTGAGGTCGCATCCCACCAGAGATTTGGTCTGCAGTAGAGGGCCTAGTGGTGGCCTTCGCCCGCAACGACGCCACTGGTATGGCACGGAATTTAATTGCCATGGGAGCCACTGAAGCGACAGTGGATGAGGTGCTGGGTTGTGTGGCATGAGGTTTGGTGACTCAAAGTTGTATTTCACGGCTTACGCCTAAGAGCGGGCCGGGCAGGCAAGCAGGGCAGGAGCAGGTGGTAGGCGGAGGTGTAAGCAGGGTGCAGGTACTGTAGGGTGGAGGCGGTGTAAGCAGGGATCGGTGAGAGAGACAGGGGCTTTCTCTTTCTTTTTCTCTTTGTGTTTATCTTCCTCTTTCTCTTCTTTTTCTCCATGTCTTTGGCATTCGCTTTCTCATGCTTCTCTGTCTCTCTCTCTCTCTCTCTTTTCCTTTCACTTTCTCTTCCTCTTTATTGTCTTCCTCTTCCTCTGCCGCTTCCTCGTTCTCTTCATCTTTCTCTTTCCCTTTCTGTTTTCAGAGCAAGCAGAATCACAAAATGCTAATAACGTAAGTCAACTCAGGTAACATATCTCGCACCACGGGCCTTTGAAGACGACTGTCGTTGCGGCCCGATTTAACCGCCTTTGGCGTGTGCCGCCGGCCAACATGGCTGAAGCATGTGTGTTTGATTGTGTTTGGTACTATAGCATACGGTGGCTGGTAAAGGCCCTCCAAGCTGCCACTAGGCAGCATCCCGGAATATGGTCCACAGCCGGTCACATGGTTTGGGTTGGTGTAAGCCGTGTGGCTTGGTGTGTGGTACTTTGCAGGTTGATCAAGAGATGATATGATCGTGTTTCTTGAAATTGCCTTACGAGTTTGGTTGGGGCCTGCCTTTTCGATATAGGAATTCAATTATCTTGGCTTCAAAAATCTTTCTCTACAGTAGATACATCGGTTGTGGGATATGTTGAGCATTGAATGTAGATGGTGGGACACGACAACCAGCATGTTTAACATTAAATATAGGAGCTGACGATGAAATCTTCAAGGTGAACTCATGCGTTGGCCTCGAATTTTCCAGTTTACTCCACCAGTCCTCTTCTCCAGCTTTTCCTTCCACAGTGCAACCACATTTAGCCAGGTCTCCTTGGCTCAAGACGTGGCCTCTGTCCTGGGACGCATCGCTGGTTTGGAACCGGAGGTGGTGCTTCGAGGCAAAGGTGATGGCCGTGTCGTGGCCGAAGTGGCGTTGGACAATGACCAGGCGGGTGGATCCGGAGGAGCGAACTGCTGCCTTAGTAGCGTCCGTGTTCCTAGTAGTAAGGGCTGGTTGGATGGTTTGCGCAATGTATCACAAGAGAACCTTTGATGCTCTTGGAAGTGTGCTTGCGATCAGCTGTTCGTTCTTGAAGAACATCTGGGAACTCACCATTAAAAATCCCGCCCGACGGACATGGGATTTTTTTGTAAACATGAACGAACCACAAACTGCCAGTTTCTTTGCCCTAGAAAGACTGTCCATCCGTTCGGGACCGCTTCATTTGCCCTCCCATCATCACCAGGTCACAGAGCTACTGCTGGAGGTGGTCCGCGTGGCTGACTCCAACGGTCTGAAGCTGCCCAGGGAGTTTGCCCTGCTGGTGAAACAGGCACCAGTCGCAAGCGGGTGTTGATGGTGCTGGGACCTCCGGCGATAGCTGGGCGACCAGGAGAGTACTGATTTGTTGTCCTTGTGTTGGAACCTGCTGTTGGGATGACATGATTTCATGGAGTATCATGGAGACACATGCAAGGTCACGTATATGAGATGATGTGTGTTTGTTTCAGATACCCAAGCAGAGGGACGGTTGCAAAGATGTTGGGGGGCCTGTTGTTTGAAAGACTTGGAGTACGCTTGCACTGAATGCTGAATTTGGACCCGAAAAGTTTCAACATTCCCCATTGAAGGAAAGTGACACGTCACTAACTTGGAACTAGGCTTATGGCTAAGCTTATGTCTGCCAGACCCCTTTATTCTAGGAGTTTATCATCTTGAGAAAAAAGAAAACGAGAAACAAAACACAATCACAAAATGCAACCAGAAAAACAAAAGCAATCAATCATAAAAGCAAAAAAACAAACAAATTGCAAGCAAAAATGAAACAACTCAGCCGGGCTTTCTTGCGCACTTTTTGGAAGGGTCCACTTTCTGGCGCACTTTTGGTCGCTTTGTTTTCCCTGTTTTTTATTTTTCCGGCGCCGGGAAAAAGTTGCACTTTTGGGCGCGTGTTTTTTCGTTTATTGTTTTTTGCGAAAGCGAAACAAGAGCGAAAACAAAGCGACCAGTGCGACTTTATCCGGCGCCGGAGAAAAAACAATGAAAAAAATGCGACTTCTGACCCGGCGCTGGAAAAAAGCGACCAAAGGTGCGACCTGTGACCCGGCACCAGAAAAGACCCTTGTCCAGTACTAACCCTACCCGCCCCCCGCAAACTGCCCTCTGTGTTTTGCTTGTGCTGTTTTTTTGGTTGCTTGTGTTTGCTTTCATTTTGCTTTCTTGGTTGCTCTTTGTTTTGCTGGTGCTTTTTTGGTTTTTGTTATTTTTTCAGTTTGATGATTTCTAGAATAAGGCCACCTCTGGTGAACATAAGGCTAAGCTGGGCGAATTCGCCCACCAAAAGGTGACCCAGACTTGACCACAGGGAAACCCAAACGTTTCTGGCAATATAGACACGTCGTGTAAGTTGGGACCAAACGCACACGCCACCGAGTTTCGATGATTGGAAGTTGGAGTTGAAGAAAGCGCTTCCCTTTCACTCACTTGTCTCATTTGGATGCCTGAAGAGTCTTTTGAGTTGCTTCAGTGAATCCCCCACTGTACACGCATTGGTCAAGAACAGAATGTCAGACGCCTCGAGCATAACCACCCTGTATACACTGTAGACTGAGAGCTGCGGATGTGAGCGGGGCTGGACTGCGACACATAACTCCCAAAGCTTTTCATGCTTTGGTCCCTCTTGGTGAGGCCCTCTACTTTGATCGCTACACCAAGTTGTTAGCACCAGATTTGGATCCTCTACGGGATGAGCGTGTCTCACTTGGCAATGTCATTGACGTATGAGGGTATTTGGGAGCGCAAGCTTCTGCGCAGCTTAGATGGCGTCACTGTGCAGCAAAGAAGCTGTCGGTTCAAGCTGAGGATGACCAGGGATGGACTATGATCACTGGGGACTTAGAGTAGAGGGAGAACCGGACTTTGACTCGCATAGATGTTGCACAGTGAAGCTCGAAGGTGCCAGAATTTGGGCAGATGCAGCAATCGGTTTGGCTTAGAACAGAGCCAGGAGCAACCAATTTTCAAGCCGACCGTGTTGATGTCCTCCATTTTGTATAGGTTTGCACGATTTTCTGGCAAGCACGGACTGCGGCTGGATCCAAAAGATGCAACTTTATCTCGCAGGGGCAGCCCTCACCCTGCAACAGAAGAGAAGATAGTATCGGCTGCTCTGATAGACCCGACTCTGAACCAAAGACTGGAGCATCATATCCAAACGGGTAGAAAGTTCTGGGGGTTTCTGCATGGGTGTTGCAAGTGCTCCTTTTCAGCTGGTTACTGACTAGCGACTATCCTGAGCGATCAAGGAAATGGCTGGGCGCGCTAGGTCAGATCACGAGGGAGAAAACATGAGAAAACCATTGAAAACCAAGAAGCTTCTGAAAAAAAAAATAGAAAAAGATTGGTTGGCTCCTCGGACTGGTCGAGAGCTAGCTTCAAGAGCAGGTTTTAGTATATGTGTTAGTCCATTCCACAGTAGATTACCGAGGCAACTTACCCACTGCTCAAGTCAAAACCCAAATTATATACTTGATTGTTTTCTCATCATCAGCAAATGTCACCAAGAATGTAACATCGCTGGGTGCAGCGTGCATGTACAAATTGCAGACACTTGCAACCCTAATGTGCGAAGTGGAATCTACTTACAGGTGCCGCTTCGTTCCCTAAATACTTGTATTGATCTGTGGGCAAAAGCCTGGCAACAGTGTAGCACGGGCAAAGACTAGGTTGTGTTGATGTTTGACTGTGAGGCTTGGTTCAGAGGCTCAGACAACTTTCAGGGCACATTCATGCACATTCTGTGATTTTATATAGATTATCAATCCGTTTGATTTTGTTTGCCTCGGGGTGTTCGCGATACACATGGATCCCACAAACAGATGTTTTCGTCTTGGGGTCCCTTTGGGTCCCTTCGAGCCTTCGGGTTTGGTTCGTGGCCAGGCCAGCCTTTGCGATTTGATTGCTGGCGCACTGCTCTTGGCCGTCCTTCTGGGTGCGCCACAGATTGCACTGGTGGTCCATGGATTGCTAGAGTTTCCACCCTACCATGTCCTACCCATGTAGGCATGGTCAAGCGAGCTTGCAAACATAAATCAAATGTATGTTTTTCACATGTTAAGATATTGCATAGCTACGCTTTGCAAATCCACAGGTTGTTGTTCTCCTTTGGAAAAGACAAAGCCCAAATCCTTTGCGCTTACACATGGCAACCATGTTGAAATGACAATATATTAAAACAAAAACACTTACTCTACACATCAATAGTCAACTGAGCTTCCATGTTTGGACTCTTCAGGTCTTTTTGGAATGTATTTTCACCATGGCAGGTCTGATCTTTTCCTTTGGCTCGGAGCTGATCTCTGGAGCTCTACTGGCGCCCATCGGTGCGGTTTGGGATCTGGGCAAAAGCACTTGAGTCGGTGGATGGGGTGACGCCGGTGGAAGGATATTGCACAGAGTCGTAGAGTATAGACCCTGAAATTCCGGGCCTAATTTTTTTTCTGCCAGCCGCTGGATACTGTTGATGGCTGATTGGTGGCTGATTACGCCAGCGGCCGGATACTTTGGAGGCTGCTGGCTGATTCCCCCGAATACTTTGATAGGTGGCTAATTGCTCGTGCAAAATGAAGAATGCAAAGGCGAGAAGACTATAGGAAGTTAGAACAGCCTCCCCCTATTCGCCAGTCCGGTTAGCGCACTTGCGTGTATAGACTCCACGACATCTCTAACGATTGCTGAGTCGGTCAAGCCAAAAGCCATAAAAATAAAACCTTTCTAGACCCTTTCCATGCTAGTTGTCACTGTAGGCTTGGAGGGCCTCACTCAACACGCGCACAGTCAGCAACACCTTTGCCCAAGCACATGTCGCAAAACAAAACTCCTCTGCACTCAAAGATTGACATGTCCCGCTGGTTCAATCACATCTTCAAATGTCTCATCCTTTGTGAACCGCTGCAGACCAGCTTCAGCCGCCGGATACTTTGGTGGCTGGCTGGCCCGGCTGGCTGACTCCGCCGGATACTTTTTAGTCGGCTGGCTGGCTGATTCGCTTCAGACTTCCGCGTCCTCCACCACTTCAAGTCGGTCTAGTTTCAAGGGCACGCCAGGGCCAGGGCTTTGCATTGGTACAATGGAATCAAAGGTTGAAGTTCAAGTTGAGGTCTTTCCCAATGACTGGAGGTGATGAGCAGGGAAAGAGCTCATGCGTCACGAGCATATGCAGAGGAATGGCCGTACAGATGTTGCAAAGTTATATGTACACAGGTTGGCGTGGACCATGCTTACTGTGTAAACGGTTCGTAGTCATGATCACGGCTCTTGGGAGGCAGGTTTATTAATGCTTACCTGCACTGACAGGTCACCCAACTTGTTGCAAGGGAGGTGACGGAATGCGCGTATGGGATGGGAAAGTAGTTCTAGACCTTGAGGGTGGGTGCTGGAGCTGGGCCTTTGCACTTTGCCGACAGCATATCGCACAATGACGTATATAGTAGATTTATGTTGTAGTATATAGACTGTTTGTGCGGAAAGTGCTAAGCAACATGGTTGATCTTGAGGCGCGTATGCAGAGTTCATGTAAGACTTGTGACTGCGCGATGACGCGCAGCATAGATTGCGCAACCGAAGCAGACGTCTGGAACTTGTCACCCTCTTGTGCGAAAAAGCATGATGAGGTCGTTGCCGTGAAATATTTCACGTGAATGTGTGTGTGTGTGTAAAACTTGTGCTGAGATGGCCCTGTGCAGAGTGAAGGTGCGGTCCAATCGAGACCAGTTTTCATGTGTATTGCAAGGAATGCGCGTTCAGTATTTGAGGTGGAAGCAGCGCACAGGCATCAAGGCTACTGGGCCTGCCATCGTCAAAGTGAGGCACCATTTTAAGCGCTTGTCCACCCCAGAGCTTCCAGACCTGCTGCGGCAGTTGAAGGCAGCGCGTGCCCAGCAGACGCAAGCTCTCCAGTCCAAATGGGTAGTTCCAAAGAGTGGAACCTACTTCAGGAAAAAGCTTTGGCGCTGAAGTGCGGCGGGCTGTTGGAGTGGTGTTGGTTTTGTGATGGTTTTGTGATATTGTTTGATTTAGATAGTGCAGGTTGATGAAGCGTGTTTTTACCCAGCCCCAGCCGTCAGAAGTTGCACGACATCTGAAAACATGACAGGCATCGTCTTAAAAAGAAAGATGGCAGGACGGTAGGCCTTGGAAATGGCCGCTAGCCTGCACACGGCTAGGAAGGAAGCAAACGCGCAAGCAAGCAAGCAAGCAAGGAAGGAAGGAAGGAAACCTACCAGCAAAGTATCCTGCAGAATTAGCAATCCAGCCACCAAAGTGTCCGGTGGAATCAGCCAGCCAGCCACCAAAGTATCTGGCCACTGGCGGAATCGGAGTCAGCCACCTAAATAAAGCATCTGGCGGCAGGCGGAATCACCCACCTAAAGTAACCACCCTGCAATGATGAGATCTGAAAGAATCTCCAAGAGTTGAGGATGATGATGAGGGGAAAATTTGTTAATTACTGTAGTCGTTTGTCTCCAAGGCTTGGGAAAGTCTTGGACATCATCTGGTAGATTAGGGAAAAGGAAATTTCCCCTTTGAGACAGACCCAAGTAGATCCTGGTGTTGTTACTGGAGAAGGGCTCGCCCAGACTTCTGGTTGAGGGGTGAGCAGTGGTTGTTCCGTTTGGAACTGCTTGTGATGTTCTGTCGACTCACTCGAGGGTCACATGTTTGGAGAGCCGATGATACATCAGTCAGCCAGTTCAAACCAAACATGAACAATGGTGAGCTGGTGAGCCCCTAGTTTCTGCCAGCAGTTTGTATGTTTTGACCACGGAGCAAGACAAAAACATGCTTCTCTCGATTCGGGGTGCGACAATCAATCCTCAGATGGGTGCTGACAAAGCAAGGTTCTGCTAAGCCAGGGGCACAATTATATAGTTCGGCACTGTGCAAGTGTGCAAGTCAATGTCAAGTCAAGTCCATCATTTCGCTGGTTTCTTTTTGAAACGCCAAACTAACATTGATGAGGTAAAGGACACCCTTTACTGGATCCTTCAACCTTTTTGTTCAGCTGTTGCTTTTTTCAGGGTTGGTCCAAGTCCCCCAAAACACCACCGGGAGGGGTTGTGGTGACGCCTGGCAGGCGTTGGCTGCGCAGCAGTTCGGGAGCCTGGCAGAGTTGGAGTGGACCTGTTGTGTTTTCTTGTTCCTGCAGTGAAATGGATGTTTGCCGAAACCGGGGACCTTGGTTGATGACCGTCCTGTATGAGCAGAATAGTTCAGAATTAAACATCTAAGTAGTCATATTACAGTATATTATAGTCATCCTTTAATCTAAAGGGAGGTCATCTCTATATATTATAATATAATTACCAGGTTTTGGTGGTTTCGGTGTTTGGTTTGACATGCACCCAAATGATACAGTGTTATCCATTCATGATTGACCTGAAACTACACATGTAATTGACACTCTCAAGGAAGAAACGGGGGCACATTTATTTACTGTAGTTCTTGCTATAGGCCTTCTAGTGCAAAGGAAGATTTTCGGACCAAGGAAGAGTTTTCTTGATTTGCTTCTGCGTATCATTGGTAGTCGAAACCCATCATTGCGATTCATTCAGCCTGGCACAAGTGACACCAGACTTCCAGCCCAAAAAAAGGCGCTCTGGCGCTCTGGATTGCTGACCGAGTATGACTCGTTCATGCGAGTGGCGGTTGCTGAAAAGTCAAATATCCAGGTCTTCAAATGGAGCCCCAAAATGTCCCAAGTCCCAAGTGGTTGTTGTCTTTCA